TGCCTATTAGGAAAACAGGACAAAGATAGACTGTCGGTGTTTGAACACCGTTGTCTACGAAGCATTGCATGAATCTAGTGGGGCAGCCGGACGAGCAATGCTGAGCTCAGGCGTAAAGGTTTAGGCAACCGCAGTCGCCCACAGATGCACGTAGTCGACCTCCATAGATTACGTTGGTTCGGCAAGTGTTACGCATGTCCCCAAATAGGCTGCCACGGCAACCGGTGTTTGCCGAAGCAGGTAGTGGGTGGAATGAAGCCCAGGGTGGTCAAGCAAAGAATATCGAAACCTTAACCAGGATTCAGGGTCACTTAGGTCCCGTTAGGTTACCTGGCTGGGGACCTCGGGATGGTCGTACCCGATGGTTAGAGACACTGAGTGATACGGCTGGGTGTCGCAAACAGTGTCTCAAGTTCTTTGCTTCATTAGCCCACTGAACTTTTCAATTTTCTCTTCGATCCTACTTTCAACCCTTTCCTGTCTTTCTCGGAATGTACATCCAAATGGGCAGCCAAAAGACAACAATCAAATGCGTCGCAAGGAAATGTTTAAACGCAAAACTGAAACAAAACTGATAACAGAAACGGAAATCGCATATAGCCAGCTCAATTGGTCGTACAAATCACCTCTGGATTTAGCTAGATACACAACTTAGTCTGAATGTGTGCTGGCCGTCCCGCTCAAGAGATCGTGCATCGTGGGTAGCTCAATCATGTGTTCACAACGTTAGCGTTCCGTTGACTTGCAAAAAGAAAAAAACGTAGAAATGTGCGTCTAACACTTTATTCCGGTAATTTAAGCAAGGAATGAAATTAAACGACCCAACTGTTCAAAGGTCTATTCTTGAAACATATGGACTGCTTAACCCAGGCGAACACACGCGATACACAGCGGGTAAGACAGGACGGTGGACACACGACTGATAGGATTTTTTATAATTTTGATTTATGGTAATATGAATGAACCCAAACTCGATAAACAAAATGAAAGTCTCCGATTGAGACCAGACCGTAAGATGGCGCGGTACAAAGAAGCGCTTCGCTAGGACTCGGTGAGCGGCATGAGATGGGCATAAACCATGATGATGATGATGATGATGATGATTAGATGGCCGATGGCTCGATCTGGCTTTCAACATTGAATTATTTTCAGGGAGCCGATACCGGCCGAATGGGTCACAAATCCATGCTGGATAAGCATATAAGAAAGCGACTTGAAGTCTTACTTTGGTGTTGGAATATTCTTCGTACTTAAACATGCCGCATACTCTCGTGTTGATCAGGGCTGAATGCTACCAGGCGCGTTCCCGGGTTGTGGATAGGGGTATACCCTTACAGAAGATTAGCTGTGAATAAATTGTGGCATACCGCAACAAATAAGCAGTCGCAAAGAAACAGCGGCGGCACTACCAGGATGTGGTGGGTTTCAGGTTGGTCACCTGGCTCCTGTTCGAAAGCCGCATAAGCCCAATAACAGTGTCTTGATAAAGGTCGATGTGATTGGCCTTTTAAAACTAGTCATTGACCTCTCACTTCTGAGGCGAGGGCTTACTTCCTGCTGCTTTACAGTTCGCACTTAGTTGTGCAAAGGCTAGAGGTACGATCTCAAAATAAAAAACGCCGAGTGGCGCAGGGGACGTCTCTGGTGCCAAACTCTCAAGGAACTCCATGATCTTGATCATGATCATGTCTGAAGCCGGATTATCCTTTCCAAGGAACCAGCAGCAGTAAAGTAAAGTACAGTACGCAATTATCGCCTGCACAATCTGGACAAAACTCTGCTTCGAAAAAATAAAATGCCGTACCAACGGCTTCTTATTTACTGTATTTGAGGAATGAGTATGGGTGTGAACTGCGACGCGATAGCCAACACATGAGCAGGCACTAGAAGAAAATACCGTTTGACAGTCGCAAGCGCTTACTAAAAATAAGTCATTCTAGTGAACCATAAGCTCCAATTATGTTGAAAATTCAAACTTTGGGATAAATATAGTTTATTTTTCAAGATCAACTGTCTATGGTTTTTAAAATATTCATCTTTTGGATTACCTTCAGGTTGATTGGACACTTCCTGATCTGCCTAATCCGTCTATTCGTTAGCCCAATAGACGAGAGGCCGCGATTAGATGCCAAAGGCTGTCCTTCTACCATACTCTTGTTTGTGAGGTGGAATTCGGTTAAAGGTGCTTCCCTGTCCCCTTTTTAGTGCGCCTCTTCCCGATGAGTGACTGTACCAGTGTTACATCTCAAATACACGGAAGAGATCATGTTTGACTTTAAACATGCTATCTCGGTCTGTGTGATATCACAATGATACTGATTACATGAGAAAGTTTATGTTTTTATAGTCAATAACCATGCATTTCCGTGTGCCCATTCAGCAGATAAATGTGTTACCTTGATGTGTGCAAAGTTTTCAAAATTAGGAAGTGTGTGAGATGGCGATCAGGTTAACGGGTATTATGAAGTTGGAAATAACTCACAACGTACAGAGAAAATTTGAAAAAGTGACTAGTTAGGTCGTTACAGAATGGCACTGGAAAAAAAACAGCAAGCTGAATGCATTGGAAAGAAATAATCAACTCGGAAGTCATACTACGATTCAACCTCATAAAGATAACTAAGTTTTTACAACTGGGGAATATTACAAACCATTTTGGTTAATGCTTCACATTGGATGCATGTGCATGACCCAACACTGACCATTATTAGGGTTATTAATTATTCTTATATGAGAGGAATGGAGGATTTGATTTGATTAGATGATGAGTTCGTCGTGAAGAGGAGGAGTGAGCTGGGAAGCATTGGAAGCAAGTGTTGAGATGAGGAAGGTTCATTGCCCGTAACAAGTGGTTAAGATGCATTATAAACCACTGATGGTGGTGGTGGATGTAAAGAAAAGTAAACAATCATCAAAGCGAATAACCAGTTTATGGAAAGGGAAAGCAACTTGTGGAATCAGAATTCAGGAAAACTTACTTTCGGTCGTCATCACCATGCAGCGGTGGAATTCCCACCAGGGTAATGTTATTCTCATCTGATCGACTGTCTACGCATAAAATAAGGGGCATCTGAGCAACACGACGATCACGGCCCTATAGACAAAAAGTACAGCGGAGGTGATTATGGGTCAAAATATTTACGTCATAAATGCTTTCCGGTATGCTAGATATCGGAGACAAAAGACCGGAAACAATAGTCAGAGGACATTTTGATACCCATGCTAGAACCTCAAGAACAATAACTCCCAGATCTTTTCGTTTGGAGCACACGGTAATAGTTGATTTCTAAGTATGTATGTAAAGCGACTCCTGTGACGCAACGATACACCCTTGCATTTCTCAACGTTGAATTCGATTTCATTAATGAAACCATCAATAAGCTGCGTGGAGAGTCTCCATTACGATTTCTTGATTTTCAGGATGTTGTACGGCTCTCCATCAGCAAATTTTAACTAATGTCTTTTCTCCAAGGACGTCTAGTAGGTCATTTATGAATGCTAGGAAAAGGTACGGACCAAGGATCCTTGTGGAACTCCACGGACAGCCTCCAACGGTCCCAATAATGAACCATTAACTCGAACCGATACGGTAGGTTGTCGAAGAAATTCCTCAATCCAGTCATGGATCAGTCCTCGAACACTGTAGTTATGGAGCTTTCGCAGCAGTAAACAATCGTTAGTCTTATCAAAAGCTTTGGAGAAGTCTGAATAGACTGCTTCAACTGCTTTTGTCCACTTATCTCGTACTAGTAGAAGGTTTGTGATGAACGAGTGTTTTCTTCGAAACCCGTGATGGACAAACGAAAGAATGTTATAGTTCTCGAAATGCTCCATCAGAGAATCAGCAACTATCGATTCCACTACTTTTCAGAGAGCAAGAAGTGTAATTGGACGGTATTTCTCAGGATCATTGTTGCAGCTACCTTTGTATACAGGTGAAATGATACCGTATTTTCAGGACTGAGAGATCTTCGTCTTGTTGAACATGCCTTGGTATAACTGAGTAATTATTTCATATATATCCTTTGTCAAGGATGTCAGGGTCTGTGGATGAATGTTTTCTTCCCCTGGGGATGAATTCCGGCGTAGCACCAATACTTTGGCTTCTGGCGTATGAAAGTGCATGGTTAACGGTTGTACAAAGTGAAACCGTTACGGATTTGAAATTGACGGTTGTTAACTGGGGGAATGGGACACTTGGCAGACGGTAAGGAAGCTTTAATCCGACTTTGTCACCTGCAGCGAACACTTTATGGAACTGGACTTTCAGGAATTCGGCTGCTTCAGAAGTAGTAGTGGAAACGCGTCCTGCATGCTTTAGTGACGGTATTCCGTATCGCACTTTTCCGGAGGCATTGATATGCTTATATAGGAGCTTTGGATTGGAAATAAATTTGTGCCAGGGTTTCCTTTTATTCTCTTGCACCAATTTTACACAAAGGTTTCTTAACATGGTAAAGTTAACTCAGTGTCGGCGGTCGGACATCTTTTGAACTCTCGGCATGAGAAATTTCACTGTGACATCCACTTCTTAGTTCAACTACGGATAGGCGACAACCTTGTTGGGGACCTTCCAATAGGCTTGGTTTTGTGGCGACCGTTATGAGTTCTGTTAGAGTGTCAACGAATCCTGTCTAGGACTCCAATGAATCTAGCTGCTCTTCTGGTTGTCCATTTTTTGACAGTAGCAAGGTTCAGCAATTCTCTGTAGTCAACAGTGCATGTGTTGGTTTTATTGAGACGTGGTAAATGTAATCGAAAAGCAGAACTACGTGGCCGCTTCGTCCTAATGGAGACGTTATTTCGACCGATTTCACCACAAGCTCCGCGATTGTCAATATCAAGTCCAATGTTGATGGCTGATAGCCTGATCCAAATCTGGTGGTATCCTTCACGTGATTATACATCGGATGTGATTGAGAAATTTCGTTCGAATGGGTGGTGGTAGTTTCGGCATTTTATAAAAATTGGGGCAATTGACGTGTCCCATTATGAAAACATGAGTGAACTTTACTGAGAGCGCTTTGGATAGTCTGCAAGAGTGCTTCGTTAGCTAAGCCTGTAGATGCAGGAGAGCGGTAGATTACGCCGATCAAACAGTTGCCGTCTTTGGATAGCTTCATTGAACAACAAAGTGTCGGAGGCTACATTGGAGAGCTAAAGTGGTTCACATTGAAGGTTGCTGCA